AAGAAGTCGAAAATATCACTTTTTACCAAAAATGACAAAAATATTCACCAAAATTAGAGAATTAAAGATATCATTACAAAATGAACAAATCTGAGAGAGGTCCACATGTAATACCTATATATGTAATATCAAAACAATTGCACTTGCGGTTTTTAACAAGTCGAAAATATCACTTTTTACCAAAAATGACAAAAATATTCACCAAAATTAGAAAATTGAAGATATCAACATGAAATGAACAAATCTAAGAGAGGTCTACCCAAGGTACATATACACCAAGTATCAAAGCATTCAGGCTTGTAGTTTCAAGAAGAAGTCGAAAAGATAAAACATTGACACGGACGACGGACGACTACGGACAATCACTCATATGATAAGCTCCGCTCGACAAAGTCGACAGCGGAGCTAATAATAAAAAAAAACATGGTAAAAAAAATGACGGGATCTCCATAATATGCACTGTATTTAACGTTTAACAAAACGATAATACATTTAAATTTGGAACTGTTACGGCCATTTTAATTATGAGCATTATCAAACTTCTTACTGAGTGAATTGTTAGGCAAATTAGCAATTATCTCTTCTTATTAGTGCACATCCCAGAATTTAAAAAAAAATAGCTCCTAGACGCTTTGACCTTTTGTTTTGAAATTTTCACAAATGATTGACAATGTGTTTATCTTCAAAACGCCGTCGGGCATCGTTTTTGGTTGAACAGTGTTACAACAATCGTACAGACAACTGGCCTGGGTGTTAATTTATGCATAAACTTGAAGTAGTGAAATTTGAGCTGCTGCCCTGCAAAATTGACAACAGGTAGACAGTTTTCAAGACGGCGCTTTCTTCATAGTAAACAGATGTACTCATAAACCAATTTTGACAGGAAACAGAAGCATGGTTTAGAAGCTAATTTGTTTTAAATCACTTTTGACCCCAAAAGCACATTTTTGTGCATATTTCAAACTACAGTGTCCATAAAAAAATATTAACAAAATTTTTAAATTCATACAATAAGCTTTCCGAAAATATATAGTTTTGTGGAAAAGGGAGGTCATCTTGGTTTCCTAATTAACTAATTAAAATACCTGTCAGGTAAACTGCATCTCTACCTTAACCAAAAACCCTAGGTGAAATATGAAGTCGTTTAAATGACACATAAACTAACCTCAATGGATATTATGGCGACGGTCAAATTTATGTGACAACTTGAATTTAGTATTTGTGCTACAACTGGCAGGCGACCAAAATTTAAAATAGAAATGGTTTGATCTGAACGGCAGCCAACAAATTGCACTTTAAACACTTTACAATTTAAGAAATGTATGTGATTAATTATGTTTACAACTGAACCTCAATCTAATCGTCAGATTTAAATGAATACAACAATTCTCTGTGGCCTGGCTAGCATCCTGTGTTGGCTGTGACAATTTGTCACGTCTCGGCCCACGCCTAGTAATTATTACGAAGAATTCAGTGTTGTTCCTTGTGAAACTATTAAAACAATGTTTCATTTTGGAAAGCTCAAAGTGTGTTGAAATTGGTAGGCTGGTTGAATATATAATTTTAAGATAGTTTGTTGTAGTTTAGCTACAATCATTTTCCTGTCCATGCAGACCAACCCTAAATAATTCGGTAAGCAAAAAGATGACAGCACAATAATCTATAAAACCATATTATACATTTTATTTTTCAAATTTAAAGCATCATAGATGAATCATGTCCCTGTAGGGCCCCATCTGCCATTTGCACCATCAATTTTAACTGTTCCCTGGTACTCTCTGCAGATTTCTGTTGATTTCTTAGCAAAAATTGTCTCATGAACAGTCTCAATCCATCCCTTAATGAATGTAGCTTAGGATAGGGAGCTATTCGAGCAAACACATCAATACTGACATCTTTTGGGTTCTCAAGAAGTAATTCCATCAATGACTGGCGTAACCAAACCATCATGGGTTTGTTAAGTTCAGCAAAATCTATAACCTGCAAGTTAAAAATTTACACTGGATTAGTTTGAAAACGTTATGCACATTTAGAATAGTGCATAATTTATGGTAATTTGATAGTGTCAGGAGAGCACAGTATGCAAATATTAAGGCATAGATCTTATCATATAAATACTCCCAAATGATTGGTGCAGTATAAAACAAACACTTCAGTGACTGCATTGAAGTTTTATTCAGTACTTGGCAAAGTGAACTTTTGAATTATTTATGTTTAGTGATTCAAAAAAAGATTGATTTATTCATTTTATATGAGTCATCATTAATTGATTGATTGGCCTATTCATTCGTTTGTTTATTTATCATCACGTTTTATTGGCTTATTTTGCAACACACTAAAAAAAATGGAATCAGGCATGATGTATACATCTGTGTCTTGGTCTTTCCTTATGATTCAACTGTCTTTCTGTGCCATGCCAATCTATAAACCAACTGACACTCTAACTTAGGCCAATACATTTCAAAATGAGAATAATTTTCAAAAAAGGCACTATGAATGCACTATGGCTGCATGCGGTTTTCTGTGAAATAAAAGTATATTAATTTATTTACTTACTTTAAGGACTGACAATGCCAGTGATTTGGACACCAATAAATGTACCAATAATTTAGCAAGGTTTGTCAATTGCTCTGTTGATAATTTGTCAATTACTTTGAATTTATCCCAAAACGCAAACTGGAATGCTATCTGGAATGAACAAGAATGCAATAATCAATGAGCATTTCAAAGACAGTGTCTTGAATTGATCAGCTTCTTTACTAAGAAGTATTACACACACATTTCTAGGCATACACTAAATTCAATTATAGCGAGATACCATATAATGCATATATCATGGGATAGCAATGATAAGTGCACTTAGTAAATGTCAGACTTGTTAGATTACGTTCAGAAATTAGATTCATCTATTCAAGTATGGCTTAGTTCTAAATTTCCATTTCAAACAAATTATTCGTGATTTGTTTTTAAACAATTTCTGGAAATGACAACTACGGTACTACTAATCACTGACTTGACAATCTATTTCAAATTCAATATGATTGGATAATATACATGTGTATAAGGGATTCAGTGATAATTGGACAAGTAAATAAATCAAGTGTGCAAAACAAATTGCATCGATTACATTGAGGTATTGGTTTTATAAGTAAATGTTTAGTAAGATCGGATGAAAGTTCTCTATTACAAACATGTCTGACAAAATGGAGAAATTTGATTAAAGATGACCATTTAGAATGAAAACAATCTTAACAACTGACCTGAAATCGTCTGTCATAGAGACAAAACTTAGATGCAAGATAACCATAGTAAGGATTGAAAGGTTTCTCCTGAAGACAACAATCAAGAAGAACATACACAATTTCTCTTTCTTGTCGATCTTTCAAATTCAGATGGAGCAATTTATCAAATGCATCAACAAAATCCTGAAAAAGATGTTAAAATTTTACTTGAACCTGATAAAAGATGTTAAACAATGCAGACACTATGTTACATGAACAAAGTTGCCTTATTTTTACAAAAATCTTGAACACAATCACATCATGCTAAATTTGAAATTCTTTATCTATACTGATAAGTGATGATACGATATGATTGGATAACATTTTTTAACTTTACCCACAACACTTTGGCCATTGTGTAAATGTCTGTTTAAGAAGTCCCTTCAATAAGTTTTGAACACAACTGTTGACAATATCATGACTTCTAGGGGAGATAGGTGTGTGTAATGCAAATCAGATTTGTGACTGTCAGTTCTAATAATGGAGTATACAATTAGTCAGTAATAGACCAAGAAAGAAAAGTCAATTCGTGAGAGAACTCACCTCACTTGTTACAATGGCACAGAATATATTTCTTCTAGTATCTGTGTTCATTCTCTGCTTTCTCGACAAATCCATGATTTTACTACTGACCTTGTTATGCACTTCTATTGTGGGCTTATCTGGCGACACAATATATATCATCAATGATACAAAAACACAATTGATTGATACTTACCATTATGCATAAAAAACAAAAACATTCACTATATGATATCAAGTAAAGAAGGCATGCAGACTGAATGTTGTGGTTCACCCACCTTGTAATTCTTAAGTAAATCATTGTTAAACAAACAACTGTTCTATTCAATGAGCAGTTTATATACCTGTAGATTAACATCTAGTGCATGTATGTATGGGGGTCTAAAAACTTATTATGCAACGTGATTGTGCGAATCGTCGAATGTTGATTATTGCACAGAATTACAGTGTCATTCTGCGAAGAGCACGATTCCTATTGGTTGGTTGATCGAACAGCGCGAATTCCAGTGGTCCCAGTTCACCGCATGCCTTATAAAAAATTAAGTTTTAAATGGTAAAAATGGTACAAAAAAGTGTGTAAACACTATGTACCGGTGACATACCGCACTGTTCGGTGATCTGCAAGCACATGGAAGACAAATTGTGGGACCAAACAAATGACACTTGGTTTACGGTGATTAGACACATCACACCACTGGCTAGCAAAATTAAATAGTAGTAGTGTAACGTGCACATTAGTTTTGACTGCCTATTTACGGCGTAACGTTATCGCCATCTTGGAGTTGCAAGGCTTCGTCCAGACGACCATGCTCATTAGCATAGGCGGCAGCTTTCAAGTGAATGTTGTACGTCTGCTTTGACTTTGTTGAGTGCATCAAGGAAACTAATTTGCATGCAGAGAAAAAAATCATTCACGATGTGCAACGTTTTGCCATGACAGCAGTTGTTTGCAATCGTCTGTCTTCGTTTAGATTATAAACGGACTCAAAACTTGTGGTCTACAATCGATTAGCTGGTATTTTAACCAACAGAAGTGAAATACTTTGTAACAGTTATGAAAAGTAAACAAAAACGGCGTTGGTTTGTGATATGAATGTAATTATTTTGTATCAAAATTTTCGAAGTCAGTACTGAAAATTATGGGTTTTTTTTTTAAATGAACGCCAAATTTTGGTGGTCCATATTAATTTTAATGTAGCGGGAAGGGAAATTTTCTTTTTTTTCTTGATTTTTCAATAATAAAACGGTTACTTTGTACCTTGATTCATCATCCCAGCTTTTCGAAATTTCGGAAAGACCAGTGCTTAAATGCAAACACTACTACAGTTTCGTTAATATTTGCATAATGTTTATAACATACATGTATATATGTATACTACCGGTAATACTCTGTTGTTGACGATTCTGATAGAACGGGTGACAAGCTTCCTGTCGCAAACAATGCATATTTATCTAAAGTTCATTGTTAGCATTATTATTAGTCAAGACTGAGAAATCGTTATATTTTCAAAGTCTATATTCTATTTTAATAACACCATCTTACTAACGCAATGACGATGAAAAGAAAGAAAGCAAAGACGCCAATGACAGACTAGGCAAAGAAAAATCTGCAACTCAAGGTCATATTTACTAATTCAGACCTGCCTGCAGCCTGTTGTGATTCCGATGAAAAATTACAGGATTTTTGCATTCACCCCTCGTTTACGCAATTTATATTTATTTTTCACGAATTTTTCATCTGAATCGCAACAGATTGCAAGCACGTCTAGGTCATTATATGACCAACCTCGCGAGTGGTTCGAAAGGAACGATTAGGCTGAAATATTCGCATCAATGCGAAAGAGTTTCAACTGTACGAGAGACCGTTGAGGGCCGGTGACAAGACGAGGAAGTGAGTACAGGAAATCTGTTGCTCGTCGACATCAGCCAAATAAACAAAGCCATCGTTTCTGTTTATGCAGAGAGCGTGCACCCATCTAATTTCCCGGTGATACTGCCGTTTTAGTTTTCTATCTTCAGCAGTAGTTGCAATCCATTCACACAGCTTTACGTTTTTTTCTCTTTTAATATTCTTAATAAAACGATATTGATTGCCTAGAAACAGTTTGAGCCGCTACACGCTTTATTTGGGAATTCAAAGTGATGAATATAGTCATAACAAATTATACTTGCTAATGACAAAAGAAGAACGTAACATCGTGTGAAACGTACTTCGCGCTCTACTCACTTTAAAGCTGCCGCCTATGCTAATGAGAATAGTTGCGAACGAAGCCTTACAACTTCAAGATGGCGTTAATGTTACAGCTCCCTGATATTACACCATAATAATGCAGCCAACACCAACGTGCATGTGTTTTGTAACCTCTTTCATCCCCTCCGGGGGATGTTATATATAATATATGTTAATAAATCAACGTTAAATACTTGCTGATTACCGTACCGTGCGGCATGTCGTCAGTAAATACTTGTTTACTGTAGTTCCCCGAGCAGTCGGTGAAATAACCATTTAAAACTGAACATTTCCATAAGGCATGCTGTGTGTGTACCCTTACATCGATCGACCATTGAGATTCGCGCTGTTCAACCCACCAACCAATGGTAAACAAAATCTGTGATGGCACTAAATAATTAACACTTCCACTGAGGTCAACTCAGCTTTCACTCGAGATTATTCAAATTTCAGTCTTTTTTTTTCAGGGAACTATAATTGTTTAAAAACAAAATAATCAATGGTAGCATCTTTGTTGATTTTAGACTTACAGAATCCCCTCCTACACAACAGCAATAGACGATAGTGAAGCACGACACTGATGTTTTGCGTTTTAATATTCAACTGACATGACTGTACTTACTTTCTGTCTGTTGCTCAGTTGACTGCTGTCCAACCCATGCTGATCCCACCACCCACCATCTGCCTTTTTCCTCTGCTGATAACAGATCACTCAGTGATATTCTGAGCTGACAGTCTGAACTACTGTGGTCTAGAAATACAAACATATCATGAAATAACTGCGTAAAATGTTACAAAGTACCCAAGATGTTACATGTACAATGTAATGCAGGACCATATTAAGCTCTGAACACAGGTTTTAAATCAGACTGGCTGGTGCATCAAATAAATGACATTCATTGAAATACAAGTTTACCTATGTGCTGAAACACTGCTCATGAATGATAAGAAACAAAATACACCATATAGCACTGCTAATGATGTGGTGTCATGCCAATATGTATTATGATGGATTATATACCGTCCAACATGGGATTTGATCAAGAAGATAATCACAACCTTTCTATTGAAAAGCCTAAACATAAAAACCTTGTTAGAAGAACTGTTCCACTACACAATTGTGTCCAGTATGAATTCCTACAACATTATTAACACGAAAGGCCGCCAATCCCCCCCCCCCCCCGTTAGAAGCAGTTGTGTAAATTAGCATTAGTATTAGGGGTAATAAGTAAGGCGAGTAAGTACCAGTATTCAGCTCTGCAACAAATCTTTTAATCCAATGTCTGAAGTGAGGTGCATTACGATAAAAACACTTGTTCGTTCAGCTCACAATTCAAAAAACGCATTGCGTAATATTATTTACTCAGTCCTATTTCATATGCATATTGATTGATAAATATAAATAAATATTTTTTAGTGAATCTTACCCTTAGTGAAAGCTCTGAGAAGTTTCTTGAGATGTTCAAGATGAGAAGGATCATAATTAGGTATTTTTCGTAAATTGTTATTTTTCAATGCACCGATAGTATCCAACATAAATTTCACTCGTGCTCTGCAAAGAAAATATATCAACAAATTGACAATGTATAGTGTCTGTAGTTTATTATTGTTTAAAGGGTGGTGGTCGTCGTGCTGCACATGTGCGACATTTGTGTTGATTGATTTTCCCATAATACAATGTGCTCTTCTAATGGAAATCACAAATATGAGGTTTGACCTGGACGTGACTCGCACTAATTACCTATTATTAAAGCTGGGTAATGTCTCAGTTTGAACTCATGGATCTACGCAACAGTCAAAGTCGCCATCTTTGTTTATATAAATGTGTGGCACTGACCATGGAAGGTACTAACGGAAGGAGCCACGACGCTATTGTTTTAGCTTTACCCCATGATCGTTTGTCAATGTTTGTTCACAAACATTGTTCTTGTTAGCTTTTAACACCTTCGTACAATGGGTTATGCTAATCTCGAGCATTCGGTAATATTCGGAGCATGTTCGGAAGCGATAGTCGTACCTCGCATGCACAATATTGAAAAAGGCGAACTTTAATGGAAATTGTCAGATATAACATTGATTGAAGAAACTCTGATGAAATATCGTGAATTTTGTATTTGTAATGTATGAGAGTTAATCAATGATTGCTTGTGACGATTGCATT